TATGATGTAAATTCATCAATGGAAAGTAAGGATAGGAGAGAGGTTTTAAGAGGACAGAGGATTTGGTATGAACACTCATCTCAATACTTATTTAACACTATTAAGTGTTTTTATCTCAACCCCGAAGTCCACATCATTCTCAATGGGTGTCTCAGTCAAAGTCCAGTCAGGCAAACAGAAAGCAACTCTAATGCTTTCAAAACAGAAGAAACGTAATGTAGAGAACTGGCTAAAAATATATTAAATCCAAGGGGCTCGTGGGTGGCTCAGTCAGTGAAGAGAATGACTCTTGATTTCCGCTCAGGTCATGATCTCAGGGTCGTGGGATTGAGACCCATGTTGGGTCCTGTGCTCAGCAGGGAATCTGCTTGAGATTCTCTCTCTCTCCCTCTCCCTCTGCCCCTCCTCCCGCTCATGCACGCACTCTTTCTCTCTCTGTAAAATAAATAAATATGTCTTTTAGAAAAGATGTTAAACCAAAAACTTAATTAAAAAAAAAATATATATATATATATAGGGCACCTGGGTGTCTCAGTTGGTTAAGCATCTGCCTTCAGCTCAGGTCATGATCCCAGGGTCCTGGGATCAAATCCGGAGTCAAGTCAGGCTCCCTGTTGAGCTGCTCCTTCTCTATCTCTGTCTCTCTCTCTCTCAAATAAATAAATAAAAACAAAATCTTTTAAAAATATAGATACATATAGATATATATAAAACATACATATATGTTTTCCCCATGGTTTAAAACATATACATTTGTCCCCTTGGTTTAACATATATATATATTTCCAAGGGGAAAAATTAGGAAGTTTGGAGGGGCAAAAGGAATAAGGGATGATTCCCAGAGATCATAAGCGACTAACAGCCCGGGACTGGAGCCCACAAACCCTGCCGCTGTCCTGCCGACACTGTCACATGTTCTAGATCTGCCGAAGAGGGCAGAGCTGGAATGTTTGAAAAGGTGCAGCCTTTGGCTCAGGCTGATGGAATCCACTGCTGCTTTGGAACCACCACTGCCAACAACGGCCACACTGGGCACCTGGCAGCAGGAATATGCCTTCTTCCTCCCACGGTCTGCTCTCCCTCCAGGGCTTACTATCGGCAGAACCCACAAAGAAGCTAGGAAGCAAGTGAGCCAGGTAAATGCAGGTTCTTAACTCCAGCAAATATAGAGCAGAGAATAAAAGGGTGGGTGAAAAGCTGAGAGAAAATAGATATAGCCCATGGGAAAGCATGTGAAGCAGTCCCATTAATTTCTGGAAAAAGAAAAAGATTTAGTACCCATCCTACTATTTAACATTGTTCTAAGGAATTAGATAAAGCAATTAAGCAAGAGAAGGAATAAAAGATATAAAAATTGAAAAGGAAGAGGTAAATTACTGTTACGGGCACGGATCGTGTTATGCTTAGAAAACCCAAAGAGGGGCGCCTGGATGGTTAAGTGTCCAACTCTTGATTTCTGCTCAGGTCATGATCTCAGGGTCGTGGGATTGAGTTCTGTGTGGGGCTCCAGGCTCAGCAACGAGTCTGCTTCTCTCCCTCTGCCCCTCCCCTCACTCGCGCTCGCTCTCTCTCTCTCTCTAAAATAAACAAATAAATCTTAAGAAAAAAATAAAGAATCAAATAAAAAAATAATTATAAACAGTAAGAGCATCTAATAAGATGACTAGGTACAAAACTAATATACAGAAATAAAAACGATGAGATATATATACACATGGAAACCAGTTAGAAGATAAAAGTGAAGAAGAGACTTCCTTTTATATTAGTCAAAAAAAAAGTAATATAACTAGAAAGAAGCTTAAGAAATGTTCAGTATCTACATGAAGATATCTTTGAAATACTACCGATGGGACAAAAGAAGATATGAACAACTGGGGACACATAACATACTTTTGGACAAAAAGGTATGTCAATTCTCCCTAAAATATATTTCACATAATCCTAATAAATACCCAGAGCAAACATCATACTCCATGATGATAGACTAAAAACTTTTCCTCTGAGATATATAAGAAAAGGATACCTGCTTTCACCACTTCTGTTCAACACAGTACTGGAAATTCTAGCCAAAGCAATGCAAGAAAAAGAAATAAAAGTCATCCAAATTGGAAAGGAAGAAGTAAAATTATCTTAAATGTAACTACATTACTTATTTAACACAGGGATTTTTGTCTCAACCCCAAAGCCCACATCATTCTTTTTTTTTTTTATTAACATACAATGTATTATTTGTTTCAGGGGTACAGGTCTGTGATTCATCAGTCTTACAGCCCACATCATTCTTTCTTTTTTTTAAAGATTTTCTTTATTTATTTGAGAGAGAGAGAGAGAGAGCATGAGAGGGGGGAGAGTCAGAGGGAGAAGCAGGCTCCCTGCTGAGCAGGGAGCCCGATGTAGGACTCTATCCCGGGACGCCAGGATCATGACCCGAGCCGAAGGCAGTCACTTAACCAACTGAGCCACGCAGGTGCCCCAGCCCACATCATTCTTAATGGGTGCTGTGGAAAACAGTATGTTCGTTCCTCAAAAAATCAAACATAGAATTACGATATAATCCAGCATTTCCACTTCTGGGAATATACCCAAAAGAATTGAAAGCAGGGTCTCAAAGAGATATTTGTACACCTACGTTTGGGGTGGGGGTGGGGGTTAAGATTTATTTATTTATTTTAGAGAGAATGAGCAAGAGCATGACCAGGAGGGGCAGAGAGAATCTGAAGCAGATTCTGAGGTGGGGTTTGATCCCACGACCCTGAGACCAGGGCCTGAGCCGAAATGAAGAGTCCAACACTTAACCACTGTGCCACCAGGCACCCCTGTATACCCACGTTTATAGCAGTATTATTCACAGTAACTAAATCGTGAAAGCAACCCAAGTGTCCATTGATAGATGAATGGATAAGCAAAATGTGGATATACATATAACAAAATATTATTCAGCCTTAAAAGGAAAGAAATTCTTCAATATGCTACAACGTGGATAACCTTGAGGACATTAGATTAAGTGAAATAAATCAGTCACAAAAAGACAAATGCTGTATGATTCCATTTAGAGGAGGTACTTAGAGCAGTCAAAATCATAAAGACAAAGTACAATGGTGGTTTCCAGGGACTGGGGGGAGGGGAGAATGGGGAGTCATTGTTTAATGGGATCGAGCCTGCTTCTCCCTCTGCCTGCTGGCCGCCCCCCCCCCGGCTTGTGTTCTCACTCTCTCACTCGCTCGCTCTCTCAAATAAATAAAATCTTAAAAAAAAAAAGAAAGAAAGAAGCCAGACAAAAAGTACATACTATAAGATTCCATTTATATAAAATTCTAGAGAATGCAAACTAATCTATAGTGACAGAGCAGACCAGTGGTTACCTGAGGATGGGGATGAAAGAGGGAAGGATGGATTGCAAAAAGACGTGAGGAAACTCTCACGGTTGGTACACATGTTCACTGTGTTGAATGTGGTAATGGTTTCACGGATGTATTCATATGTCAAAACCCATCAAGCGTACACCATAGCTATGTATGCTTTCTTATGCATAATTATACATCATTAAAACTCTACAAAGAGGGTATTAGGCTACAGCCCATTGAATAAAACAGGAAATCTGTGAGTCAATAATAATATGAATGAGTGAGTAGAGATGATAGATAGATAGATAGATAGATAGATAGATAGATAGATAGATAGATGATAGATGATAGATGATTGATGATAGATGATAGATAGATAGATGATTGATGATAGATGATAGATAGATGATTGATGATAGATAGAGAGATGATAGGTAGATGATAGATTAGGTAGATGATAGATAGATGATAAATGGATGATAGATAGATTGATAGATAAAAGATGCTTAACACCAAATGTTACTAGTGGGAGTGTAAATTGGAATAGCCACTTTGGAAGACTCTTGGGCAGTATCTGCTAAACCCAATAAAGCAAGGTATTCAAGAGTGTGTACAATGTACTACCATTTGTGTAAAGAAAGAGGACTATGTAGACACGTGTGTGTATGCATCTAAATGTGGGGTGGGTGTGTCATCTGCTATTTTGCAGATCATCTCCATCTCCAGAAAGGTTCCAAGAAATTGCTATTGTGATGTTTGGCGCCTCCAGAGAGGGGATCTGAGTCACTGAGAGACTAAAGTGGAAGAGAGAATTTTCTCTCTAGTCCCTTTGTACCTCTTAAATTTTGTGCCATGTGAATGTATTACCTTTTCCAGAAAAGAGTTTAATGATTCTTTTAAAAGCAAAAAGAAACCTCTACGGAGCGACTTCTCTCTGACCTCACCTCCCAGCACTTCTGCAGCTCACCCATTCCCCACTGAACTGAGCTGCTCACCCATTCCAGAAAGGGGCAGGGGCATCTGTCCATACACCTGCTTTTTCCTCTGCCAGGAGCACCCTTCCTTTCCTATCCCCGCTCTGAGGAGCCTCTCTTGTCCCCCAGTTGGCTCGGCTACCCCTGACTCTTCACTACAGCAGAAAGGCACTCCGCGCCCACACCGTGTTCCGACTGGGCTTGGATCATTGCTACTTCCTCCGTGATCTCCCCTGCTGTGGGGAGAATTGCTGCCTCCCTTACAGTCACAACAGAAGCAAAGCCCAGAGAAGAATATGTCTGACTGTGGGGTCACAGAACCTCTCACCTGACCAGCAGCACGGGGGCTGCCCCTGGCTCGGGCAGCTCTGTGGGGGAAAAGACACTTTCCTGAAATAGCTCATCCCTGCCTGACTCAGGAGTTGTCCCCACACCTCTTCTCTTAAGGCCCCCACCTGCCGGAGCAGATCCACTGGTGGGTTTGACTGGAGGGCAGAGGCAGTGGGCTTTGACAGAGCACCCCTCTCAACCCGGGACTTTGTTTAAACTCAGTCTCCCCCCAGAGGCCATCAGTGGCCCTGGGAAATGCTACTCATGAGATTTTAGACTATTGTAATTTCCCTCTTGTATAATGCCAAGCTGTTGATTTTCTTTTCCCTATACAAAATTTCCTTTGGCCGCTATGCAATTGGTGGGTAGCCTGTGGAACTGTCTGTGGGGAGCTTCCCCCAAGCTTCTGAGGGAGGCTTCAGCCAAAAGAGAAGCCACCGCATAATAATTTGGAGACTTTCTGCTAAGACGCCTGTCACCCCGAAGTCTGGTCTGCCTCCATTGTAGCCTGGGACCGAAGCGTCTGGAGTATGGTCCTGGGCTGTGAGGACAGCTAGGGTCACCTGCTTCCTGTCTTCCCCCACTCTCCTTAGATCACACGAACGTAGGAGCAGGGCGAGACCTTAGAAACTATGGAAGGCCCATCTAATCTCTCTTCATCTCCCCATTTTACAATTGAGAAACTGGAGCCCAGAAAGGAAAAAGACTTGCCCAAAGAAACTCAGCAAGTTACAATGTTAGAACTAACTCTGGGACCTGGGCTTCTCCACGCTGCCATTTTCTCCCTTCTTTTCTTCTATTGCTGGGGCACTGTGATCTTGAACCGGTCAGTTGAAAAAATGCCTTTCTTTTGACCTGCAATCTCCCTCCTTCTCCTGACCAATCCGGCCTTCCCCTGAATCCTCTGTGCTGGGCTTCAATCTGGGGCAAAGGCATGTTACAGTTTACAGAGCCCTGGGGGTGTGCCAGGGGAACCCAACCAGATTTTCCAGCTTGCATAACCTGAACAGATCCTGGGGACAAAATGAGGCCAGCACATGCCCATGAGTCAGCTCTGTCCCAGCATTTGGCCCCCATGAAGCTATGATCTGAGACCTGTCCCCCTCCGCCCTTCCCACTCCTCTCTGAAATGATCACACCCCCACCCTCAACTGGCAGCGCCCCAGAACTCAGGACACTAGCACCACTCAGGACACCGGCTCCCCCCACATAAAACTATGGGGCCATAGTACCTGCGTCCTCTGCAAGCATGCCATGTACCCTTCATACGCTGGCAAAGAGAAAGTTGACAAGTAGGACACAGGCAACAAAGTCCCATCGCAGGGGGCGGAGAGACTCCTGTCTAGGGCACTGGAGAGAGTGAGAAGGCCAGCGTCCCAACGGAAGCGCAGCTCCGAGCGGGCGTGTCAGGGATGCCCCGGTGCACCTCCTGCAGCTGCTGGTCCTGCTCCTCGCGCTGCCCCTGCACCTGATGGCTCTGCTGGGCTGCTGGCGGCCCCTGTGCAAAATCGGCTTGCCCTACCTGATGGCTGGGCTGACTGCCAAGTGCAACCGCAAGATGGGGAGTAAGAAACAGGAGCTCTTTGGCCAGATAAAGGGGCTTATGGGAGCCTCCGGGAAGGTGGCCTTGCTGGAGCTGGACTGCGGCACCGGTGCCAACTTCCGGTTCTACCGAGCGGGCTGCAAGATCACCTGCCTGGACCCAAACCCCCACTTTGAGAAGTTCCTGACAAAGAGCATGGCTGAAAACAAGCATCTCCAATATGAACAGTTTGTGGTGGCTTCCGGAGAGGACATGAAAGGACTGGCGGATGGCTGCATGGATGTGGTGGTCAGGTGCTGTGCTCTGTGCAGAGTCCGAGGAGGGTCCTGCAGGAGGTCCAGAGAGTGCTGAGGCCGGTGAGCAGCGCGGAGGGGGAACGGGCGCCGGGCAGGCAAACGCAGCATTGGCCGCTCCAGGGTAGGGACTCCGGTGTGCTAGCACATTAGACACCCATCCACCCCCACCTGCTGGTGAACAGTGAACATGACCGGGGCCTCGATGGGGCAGAATAGGGTGCTGCGGAAGCCCACGGGAGAGCCCCCTAACGCAGCAGTTGGGGGGGTGAGGGGGGAGAGACACCTAAGGAAGTGATGTTTACACTGAGATCTGAGGGACTGAGCCGGATGTGGAGGAGCGGGGGAAAATATAAAAGGGTTCTAGATAGAGATATTAGAGGACGTAGAATCTGTAAGATTTTGACCTGGGTGTGGAAAGGAGTTTAGGATGGTTTCCAAGTTTCTAGTATCAGAGACTGGTGGAGGGGAAGAAGGAGGGTAGAGGGAAGTGTCAGTTGCTGAAATGAGAGGAACGCATTTGGGACTTGTTGGGTCTGAGGTGCCACTGAGACAGGCAGGCAGAAAAGCCATAGAGGCTGTGGGAAGTCAGAGAAAGAGGTGGCCTGCACGTAGAGATGTGGAAGTCACCAGCTTGTAGCTGGTAAAGTCAGAGCACAGGGGTGCATGAGATCACCTAGAGAGGGTTCGGCAAGAAGAAAAGGGCTGAAGGAACCGCAGCATTAGTCAGTCACAAGTCAGGTGCAAGGTTTCCCCGGGATGTCAGCCACAGGATAAGGTTGGATGTGTGTGTCTGAGTCTCAGAAGACAGCATCTCTGTACACATCTCTGGGTGAGATCTCTGCTCCTGTCTCTCCAGCTCCCCATCTGTCTGCCCTCGGCTAGGCTGTCCCCCCTGGCCATGATTTAAAGATCACTCACCAGTCACCCCCACTTCTTTAGATGCGCTTTTGACTGGGCGGGTAGGAGCCAGGGGCTCCGGAGAAAGTCAGAAGCAGAGTGATGTGCTTCATGAACCTGCTGACCAGCAACCCCCGCCTCACCAAGAGGTCTGACCAGGCGTGGTCCGCGGGGTGGAGGTAAGGGCAGAGGATGTTGTAGAAGGGAGCAAAGGAGGGACGCTAACTCTCTCTGCTCTCCCAGGGAGGAGTGTTCTTTTTCTGGGAGCGTGTGGCTGAGCCACGTGGAAGCTGGGCCTTCCTGTGGCAGCAAGTTTTAGAGCCCACCTGGAGGACGGCTGCTGCCTCACCAGAGAGACCTGGAAGGAACTCGAGAGTGCCCAGTTCTCTCAACTCCAAATGGAACAACATCCCCCTCCCTTCAAGTGGTTGCCTATCGGGCCCCACATCATGGGAGAGGCTGTGAAATAACCCTTCCCGAGTCCTGCCTCCGGCCAGAGCAATCCCACCTACCACCTAACCTGTCTTCTACTGAGGGGGGATCTGGGCAGAGAAGCCATTCCCCCCACCGCCCCTTTCCTCCCTCCCCCATCTCTGCCCCCGCGTCTAACTTCAGTCCTTCCTGCCAAAGTGAGAAGGCTCTATTCCTAACCTGACCACAGGGAGGAAAGCGATGTCTTGCCATGTCCTTGACTGCAAATCCCTAGACTGGGTCTCCCAATTTTTGCCCACCCACTGCTAGGGTGGTTCCCTTGTTCCCATTAGTAAAGGTCCCCCTCCTCTTCACCTGAGACCACACCCATGTGCCCGTGCTGGGTCCCCCAGCCCTCCCTCCCACTACCACCTTTGTCCTGAGCTGTGGGGGTTACAGAGGGAAGCAGCCCTCTCCTGGAGACCCTGGACGAGGGGGAGCAGGACTCAGCAAAGAAGCCAGAGGTTTTGTCCTCAAATATTTTTTAATAAATAGACAAAATCCACTAGATTGATGCAGCAAACTAAGGTCAGAGGAGAGGGGAAACTATGGAGGGAAGAGCCCCTGAGTCAGCAACACAACCTCCTCCCCAACCCTCTGGGCTTAAGGCACTTTCAGGGGGACAGGTCCTTGGGGTCCTGTTAAACAGGGTGAATGGGAGAGGGAGGGATCAGGGTCCCTTCTCCCACGTTTGCATCAGGACATCACTGCCCTTCTCCCCTACTCCACAACCCCATTCCTGATTTACTGCCCTCATCACACACTGTTCTAAGGGAAGTTTTGGGGGGTGTTCCTTGGGGGGGGTATGCCTATGCCCCTGAGGAAGCAGATCCTGTCACATCCTGATGGGGCACCAGCAATCCACCCTACCCTCTTCATCCCAAGGAGCCATGTCGGGGAAAAGGGTGGAGGGGACCCATGGGCCAGGCTGGGACCCAGGGAGCTAGGTGGTGCCTGACATGGGATGCCCATCGGAACCTGGCTCAGGGTGCCCATCAGCAGCCAGGATGGGGTGCGCATCGGGGCCCTCCCGCCGGGGGCTGCCCCAGTTGTTCCTCAGGATAGTGCCGGTCTTCTCCTCCTTGAACTGCTGCCGGTCTTCCCGCGGGATCTTCACCGCGTGGTACTGGGGCACAGTGGACTCGGGGTACTGTGCCCGCTTGAAGAATCCCATCTGTAACGACCCCAGGCCAGACATGAGGAGCCTGCAGGGCTGAGGGCCCTGGAGCAGATGCCCAGCACAGCCCAGCACCTTGCCTCCGCCATGAGTGGGGGAGAAAGTACCAACCACAGCAGAAAGGAGCTGGGTGGAACAGCATCCAGTGCGGTGCGTGGCCCCCACAGGTGCCACAATTAATGCCGGGCCCCCAGGTCCTCTCCCACGGCGAGAGAAAAGACCAGGAAGGGCCAAAGGTGCAGGACCAAGGACATCTCCCTTGGCTCCGGAAAGAGGGGGTTGAAGATGGAACAGCGGGACCGCTGACCCCACCCAAGCTTTTTAAGAGACCCAACAGCATGCCCCAGAACATAAACAAGATCTGAGACAAAAAAATGACTTCCTAGACCCCTGCATACTGGGAAAGACTCCTCTCGAGCCTCAGACACACACCCCGTGTACTCAAACAGCATTTCCCTCGGGGCAGGGCCCTCTCAAGTCCATGAATATGGTGACCTCGCCCCGCCCTACATCATGAACACATTGGCCCTTCTATACCGAGGTGGAAATATGCCCCTTGCACACTCACACTCAGGACCACCCAAGGCTCCTACATGCTCAGACCGCACGGCATGTCCTTGTGCATTTGTCTTTGCACACTCATGCCCACAGAAAAGCCATGCATGGCACCTTCCTGCACCCCCACATGCTCATACTGCATGAGCCCGGCCACTCCTTTGTGCATGCCTCAGGTTGTGTGTACTCACCCTTATAAAACCCCCCTTATAATTACCTTCCACCCCCGTTCCACACCACCCCCGTGCAATCTCATTTCCTCACCCTGGTCCCCTGAATACTGGGGGCTCTACTCACACATACGCACTCACACGCACACACACATGCACACACACAATTACCCCACAGTCCCCGGGCCCCCAGCTTCCACGGCCGAGGGCTGCACAGCCAGATGGGCCCGGTGATAGTTGGTGGGAAAAGATGAACTCTGGCTGCTCCGATGGAAGAAGCCACACTGGGATGTCAAGGGCGGAGAGGAGCAAAAGAGGTGGAGCATGGGAAGACTCAGGAGGGGTGGGTGGGGGCCCTTATCTCTATTCTGTCCCCCTTCCAAGAAAGCAGGGAGCAGGGATTCTGGAGCCAGTTTCATGAAGTCCCCGAAGACTGGCCAGGTTCCCCACACTTTGGATGCTCAGCCAGAGGCCTGGTCCATTGACGACTCACATTTACCAAACAGTGCGCTTCGTCTGCACCTGGTCCGGGAAGGACCGGGGGCAGTTCTCCAGAGGGCCCCAAAGACGTGCATGGTCCTCCAATTGCCCAGATGTGGCATGTGGTTCAGGGTCTGACGAAGGGTGGTGGATGTGGTTCCCTGTACTGACATGTGCACGTGTGTGCTTTTTGGTGGAACCCCAGACACAAAGGGGATTCTGTCTACACTCTATGTGTTTGAAGACGGTTCCATGTAGAGCCTGGTACGTGAAGGTTCTGAGTTCCGTGCTGGAGGCAGTCCCTGGAGGTTGTTCTCCACGCTGCTGTGTCTTCTTTATCACAGTTGCCTTCCCAGCCTTCCCTGCCATGCTCTTGTTAAATCAGCCCCGACTTCCCTGCCTCTGTGGCTCTGCCTCCCATGGGCCCACCCACCTCATCTCCCACCTCCAGATCCTATGACCCCACCTTCTTCCAAGCCACCTGCTCTCCAGCTTTCTCACCTCTAACTCCCCCTGCACTCGCTTGCCCTAGCGCCTTCCGCCTAGTCCTTCCGGCAAGGCTCACCTCCCCCACTAGCCCATCAAATCCCGGAGGTCAGCATCTGCATCTGACTTCTCTCTGAAACTCCGGAGCCCGACCCAGTCCCTGGGACATAACAAGCGTTCAGTGTCGATGGGGCCGATAAATGAAAGAGCGGGTGGGACAGAGAACCAACGCCTGGAGGGCCTCCCGCCTGACGGGGAAGCCCAGCCCCCACCAGCGCCGCCTCCCCCAGCCGCACCTTCCACATGAGCAGCACCAGCAGCGCCAGCACGAGCAGCCCAGCCAGGACGGCCAGGAGGATGACCCACCAGGGGGCTCCTTCTGCCGCCACAGCCACAGGGTCCAGGTAAACCATCACGGGGATCTGGGGAATGAAGGGTTCAAGGAACAAGGACCGGAGCAGAGGGAAGAAGAGCTTCCCCACCCCAACCTCGCCAGGCCTGCAGCTCACCACCGTGGAGGCATCTCTGAGCAGCAAGTTCTTGACAGAAGACTTCACGGTGATATTGGCTCGGACGATCACCTCCAGGGACTTCACAGCCGAGTACTCCTACGGGAGCAGAGAAGGCAGCCTTCTCCTTAGTGCCCCCGCCCCCGCCCCCGCTCCTGAAATTCTAAGTGCCACGGTGCCCAATACAGAGGGCATTTCTGCCTGTCCTGGGTTAAGAGTGTGCTGCACTTGGACAGGGAGAAAGCAGAAAGAGCAGTGAGTCCCAGAGGGACGGCTGGGGAAGAAGATGCCAGCCCCACCGCCACGGTGCCCTTACCTCCAAGAAGGTGCTATTCCAGAGGCGGCCCCACACGTGCAGCACAGCGGCGCGGTCAAAGCTGTAGAGAGGGCAGCTGAATACCACGCAGTTGGCAGTGCCCCGGGCACAGTCCTAGGGACCAGGACAGGCAGGGCTTTGAGCCACTTGGCCCCCGCCCCCTGAGCCTCCCCAGGGCCCAGCAACCTCACATATGCGCTCACACAGACACAGAATCTGCCCAGAGACTTCGCTTCGTCCGTCCATCCACGAGCTCCCACACCTTGGACCCCCTATTGCCCTTGTTCCTCACTCATCTCTCTCCCATTTTCCTTAGCCGACCTCAAACTCACCTCCTCCAGGAAGTCCTCCCGAACTAACCCCATGGTCCAAAAGAGCAGCCTACCCCAAATCTGGTCTATCTGACCTTGAAATACATGGGGAGCAGGGAGGAGGTCTCTTATTTGACAGCAGCAGCAGAGTAGTTTCCCAGTTAATGCTTATGTTATATAACAACGGTCCCGTTTACTGAGCATCTCCTAGCTGTAAGGTACGTATTAAAGCCATCCTGCAAGATGCATATTATTATCATCCTCATTTCCTAATTTTCCAAACTAGGAAATTAAAGTTCAAAGAGGCCAGGTGCAGGGTGCCTGACTGGCTCAGTCCGTAGACCATGGAACTCTTGACCTCGGGGTCATGAGTTCAAGCCCCTTGTTGGCCAAAGAAATTACTTAAAAAAAAAAAAAAAAAGAGGGGCACCTGGCTGGCTCAGTCAGTGGAGCTTGAGACTCTTGATCTTGGGGTTGTGAGTTTGAGCCCCACGTTGGGTGTGGAGCTTACTTAAAAATAAATTCTTTTTTTTTTTTTAAGATTTTATTTATTTATTCATGAGAGACAGAGGGAGAGAGAGAGAGAGAGAAGCAGAGGGAGAAGCAGGCTCCCAAGGAGCAGGGAGCCCGATGCGGGACTCGATCCCAGGACCCTGTGATCATGACCTGAGCCGAAGCTTAACCATCTGAGCCACCCAGGCACCCTTATAAATAAATTCTTAAAAAAAAAAAAAAGAAAAGAAAAGAGGCCAGGTGACCTGGCTCAGGCTGCACAGCTAGCAAGCTGGTAAGTGGTAGAACAGATATTTGAATCCGGGTCCATGTCGGGCAAAGCCACATTCCTATGCTAAGCCCAAACCCACTGAAGGAGGAGGAGGCCGTCCCAGGAGCTGCTGGGGCACCGGGGACTTAAGCCCTGCTCCTTCCGGGTCTCACCTACATCCGTTTGGCCCAATCCCACCTGATGATCCAGTTGCCCTAAAAATTGTGTTATATTCACCACACTTCATGTACAGGAGAAGGCCTTTGAGAGCATTTGAATTCTTTGAATCATCTTTTATTTTGCCACTTTTGAGCAACTCAAGAATCCTTGGCCAGTTTGTCTAAAGGCAATTTTAAGTGAAAAAATCAAAGTTCTTATTATTAGAAAGGGAGGCCTTTCAGGGGAAATCAGGCACATGGAGAAGGCAGGACGATACCTGTGACAGGGAACCGAGCATGATGCAAGTCCACAGTACCCCCACGTGCCTTCGTGTGGCCTCCTGCCATGCTCTCCGGGAGCAGGGAAGCTGAGGGCCCCCACGAGAGACAGGGTGTGACAATGGAGCTCCCTCCGGGACAGACGACGCCAGGCCCAGCCCAACTGTTCGCATCCCCCCGCCAACAGTCTCTTTGACTCCTATCGCCCAACCTTCCA